CATGCTTCGCATATGACCTGGATTACAGATGCTAGATAAGTAATAGGGAGAAACATGAATCAGGTCTTCCTTTTGTCAGAATTGAGAAATATGATTGACAAAATGGAGAAATCTACTTTCAAGTGCTACCAATATTATGAAAGAGGTATTATGTTTGCAATGTGCATTATTCCTTGGTGTATAAAGTGGACCCAACTATTGTGCATATAAATTTCGAGAGCGTTGCAGAATCTGGACAGATATGCTGGAAACAAACGAGACATGGTTGTTTTATTGTTGTCATTACATACAATCAAGTTTGCTTGGGCTTGGGATAGTTATGATATCTAACTTCACAACTTGGATGGGTTACATTTTGTGTCTAGGAAGCATTAAACATTAAATTCTTGGTCTGTAGCCAATGTTTTAGAAAATTAACTCAAGTAATATAGGTCTTTGGGGTAGGTTTGATGCACTTCCTACAAGCAAATTTTGATTCTTCTTTATCTCTGCCCACTTGGTATGCTTATCTCTTCAGGATTATGTTCCAAGTAAATTCCTTTGCATTTTGTTCTTTGATAAAACGTTTGTCATGAGATATAAGTTTTGGTTAGAATCTGAGTGTATTAGATCAAATAAGGTACTAATTTGTTCTTTTCTGTTGAATTTCTCCTCCATGTAAAATGAAATCAGAGTGAGCAACATAATTTATCGCAGACAAGGAGTTTGTCGCATAATGTGGTGTTTGATTTCATGTTGTGCATTGAGTTTGAGGTCATGGTTGGAATTAAACTGCCTTGGAAATTTGGTCTGACTTTCCATTCAAGTCATTTTTGGGACTTCATATGTGTTAGCCTTGCCGTCTGAATAACATTTTTTTCTAAATAAGAATGCAATTCAATTTAATGAATCTTAAGCCTGTCTGGGCTGTTACGGTTTCTTAATTATAGCTTCATATGGTATTTGATTTATTTCTCTAAGTTGACTGATCTAATATTTTCCTAGGGCTAGGATCATCACTTCTCACATTTCTTTCGTCTATTTATTTTTAGTCATTTCTATGAATTTTTGTTGGATTTTTTCACTTTCCTGTCTTGCAAATTTTGTTTCCTATTTTCTCCCTTGCTCTGTGAAACATGTATGTTAGATATGAACGAGTTCCCAATATAGACATTTATATGTTATTGTTAGTTAATTATTTTTGCTCTTGGCTTGATTTTTTTCAGGTTCTTATGTAACTCGCTTAAACATTTCTTTCAAGTTTTGTGCTCTATTATGACCGAAGAGTATGATTACACTTGATTGCTTATCTGGAATGTTTACTGCTTGTGCAGGAATTAGTTGGAGGATTTGACCAGGAAACTACAGCTGTTGTATTAGCAAGATATTTCTCTTTGAAAATGGAGATGGAGGTAAGGAAAGTTTTACATACCTGGATGGATGTTTTTACTCCATGATCACTTGCCAAAATCCCTAATCTATACTCGTAGCGGGTGAAGTTCATACTCTAGCTCTTTTTTTTTGGTAATACTCAGCAATGATTACAATAGGCGCTTGGACGAGGCGAGGCGAGGCCCGAGCGCCTCGCTTCATTTCCAGGCGGCGCGCTTCAAAGAGGTGTCGCTTGGGCGCTCGCCTGATCCCAGGCACCGGGCGCTTCGGGCGAGCGCCTAGGTTAAACCAGGCGATCGAACTAGATTTCTAGGTTTGGTTGGTCTCCGGTGCTTTAGTTGGTTCAATCGAACCAACTAAATTATCGATATCAGGCTCCCTCTCACGATTTTCTCGACTTCCCCAACCCTAACACTCGCGATTTTGTTGTCCAGATTTCTTCTTTGCTGTCGCTGCTCTCTATTGCCACTGTCGCTGCTCGCCTCTACTGTCGTTACTCGTCGCTACCACAATCGCTGCTCGTTGACTGCTCACTTCTCCACAATCACTACTGTCGTCGCTCGCCGCTATTGTCGCCACTCTCGCTCCCGCTCCAGCTATGGCTGTCGCTTGCTACCGATGTCGTTGCCTCAACAGCCTCAGTCTTCTCACACTCTTTTCACTATATTGTTAACAGTATATTAATAGTATATTGCTAACTGTATACTAATAATAGTATTTTGATTTATTAGATTAATAATATAGAGATCGAAAACAAACTACAAAAAATTTAGCTAGATATTTCATGAATAAAGAATAATTTTGAATGATATTCTTCTTTGATATAAAATGTTAGCCATATATATTAAAAATATTCAAAGGGAGGGAAATATTCCTAGAATAAAGATCTGCTTTTACTGAAATACAATGTATATCAGAATTTCTACACAACTACCTTTTAAGGTGACCGTCACGACCATATAATCATAGTGTCATGACAATATAGTCGACTTTAGGTCATGTAGCCACCACGACGGGGAGAACAGCTTGAGGTGGTCGAGATGGACCAATCCGATGCTCAAGTCGAGACGAAGCGCGCGGTTGGGATCTTCCAAACGCAATATATTTTGCCGCTAAAGGAATAATATTTGGGTACTTAAACCAGCAAAAAAACAAAAACAAAAAAGAGTGATAACAATTGTAGTAGTGACCTTCGTGGTTAAAATATACACAGCACATGAAAAGTTCAAAAAGAAAACCTGAAACACGTGGTAAGTATAAATATACACAGGTTTCTTACCACCGTGGAGCATTTCAACCAACTGGATAGATAACATAGGATGGGGTGGGGGGGGGGGGAGGGTGTGGTTTTCGAATCAAACAATTTACATGTCAGCACCCTTGATGGACCAAAGCAGAGGAGACTCCTCCGTCGGATCCATTCTGTCCATCATCGGGATATTCCAAGCTGATGAAACCCATTCTGACATGGGACATTTTTTTTTATCAACTTTTCTGGTTTCTCCTCCAAGTATGGCACGATATGCTTTTTCATGTCACTTTGGGAGATTCTGAGATGATTTCCTTTGACACTGATAAATTTGACTCGCCCAGCATCATCCAAAGTTTTTAGACCAATCCAGTCTTCAGTGTAGAGGGTAGTCTGAAAAAGTCATTTATTTATATAAGTATTATAAAGGTATTAAAGGTATTTATACAAGTCATCATGAATCGTGATCATCATCATCTAAGCCTTTTTTCAATTAACATGAGATTTAGTAAACAATCCTATAGAAAGAAAGAATAAAATAGAAGAAACAATCCTATGCATCAGATACTTAATTTCAGAGAACACTGGGTTCATCAGAATCAGAGACCCATTGAAGATAAAATGAACAAACATCTCTATTAATGTGGCACAATAACAATTTATATAAACATGAGACTAGACTCTGGTGCAAGTCTGATGTGGAACAATGTCAACTCTTATTCTTGACTCTATATCAAATATTTAATATCAGATTTTTGCCTGTACCATGCTGCTACTTATTGGCCTCAGGTGATCTTATCAATTTCCATCTACATGCATGGATCTCTTGAAAGGTAACATCTACAAGGTTTATCATCGGTGATATGTTCTAACCATGAATCTGCATTTCAACCACAAACCTACTACCCATTTGTTCTGCAGCCTAGACCTGGATGAACTCTGCTAGGTTCATTTACAACTGAATTGACTACTATAATCCTCAATTTAATAGAGATCAGAAGCAGACAGAAATGAGCTTAATGTCCTATGTAACACTGCAGTTGCTAATGTAGAAACTGCTGTAGGAATTTCTTTATGGTTGCATGCAAACAAGTTTGCACCCAATAATCATCAAGTCTGGTGCAGAGTTACTTAGACAAAGACAAAGCTAACAGATATCCACCATGTCATACATAATTAGACAAAGACACCAACTACTGACCCACGCTTAGACATATGTAAAAAACATTAAAAGGTATTCCTCACCTGTTGTGGAGGCAAAATTGGGTTAAAGGCACCATCTGGATAATATCCAAACCAAGATGTCTCCCGAGGAATCAGAACTGTATCATGCTCGAACTGTCCAGCAAGTAGAAATCATAAATAAAAAAATAGTAGTCCCATCTTGCAGGATAAGATGTAAATAAAGAAAAAAATTGTAATGCCAAAAGTAGTAAATATTTCATCTGTACTATCCCAAATGATCCTAGTGGTTCATCTCTGTTGCTAACCAGAAACACAGACCTTCAAGAAAATTGAGAAATGAAACAGAAGCTTTGTGAACTGACCATTATAAGAATCAGATTTTCTAAGCTACTGAACCTTTCTTTGTAGGTAGAATTTCTTTCACTGGGAAGTTCATTGTTAAGCTTTGGCAGAAACCTGCATCCTTCCAAATACTCAGGAATGTCCTAGAAAAACAAAAATTGTGAGCAGTATAACTTGAATCCATAATCAAGTAAATTCAACACTTAATGTGGAGAAAAACTCAAAAAGGGATGACAAAGACTTGCTCTAAACATTGGTACCAAGTATCTAAAATTGATGTACCATGTAAACCTTATTTGATAAATAAGATGTGCAAGGATAACTGTTGGTTGATGCATAGTACAGTCCTATTAGTGATTCTTCCCTGATGCTCCACAATAACGATAGTTCTAGCAATCCATAATCATGGTGATCATGTGAAAAATTTTATTATCTTCTTAGAACTGATACTGCCATCTGCAAATTACTTGATTGTAATAAATGTAAATAAATTGAAATTTCAGGAACAAGAATCAACAGGTTTTACAGAACAGAATATTATCCACTGCTGCAATAGAGCTTATGGTAGGCAGAATGGCAAACCACTGGCCAACATCTTATCCCGATAAAGACAGAATCTCTCAACACGGCATATTATATAATGTCAGCTTCCTTGTAAGTAAAATATTTGCGCTCAAATCATCCAATAAATTCTTAATTTTGTTGCCTAACAAGGGATTGTTTGTCTCAAATGTTATTCATTATACATAAACTTTTGTGAGGGTTTCATGAAAAGTTGCCAAGAAATGGCATAGGTAACAGCATAATTCACCCTGCTAGCAATTTATATTGTTAGCAGTGAGTTCAGAGATGCCATCAAGTTGCAAATCATGCTCTCAATGGAACATATCTCCCAAACAGTCCAGTCTAATAATGCTATCAAGCTGCAAAATGATAAGCTTATAGGCTACATATATTTCAATCAAAATCTCCCTTGTGTCATCATTCCTGCCCAATATGAGGTATAGACCATCATTGGTGTGTGTGCGCACGTGCGCTCATATCAATTGTGACTAGCATGATACCCATCTAGCATGATACAAGTATAGGTCTCACAAGAAATCCTAAACCTGATATCTCCATATCCATTTTCTCTGTTTGTCTTCCCCTCTGTTCTATGCTTCCACAGAAACTTGCCTACAAATTTCTTCATTGAGCGTATACCAAGTACTTCATTGAAGTTTGTTATCTACTATGTGACAATGCTATAATTTCAAGAAGTGAATTCACATGATATATATTAAGTCATGTACTGTAAACCAGCCTTAATACCACTTTTCATGGGTGAACTATCAATATGAATCAATCATGTTTGACAAGTTTTGGCCAAATCAGTGACAGAAATGGCATCTGCACCGACTCAACCAGAGGACTGCAATATTTACGGGAGGCCTTCAGATGAGAAGATATCACCTATGCCCTAGATCTACAAAAGTTTTTGGAGGATTTTTGGAGGACTGCACAGATATGTCACATCACATGGTGAAAATCAGGAAGCGGGAGAAAGGGTTGGAGGGAGGGAGGATGAGGATGGGAAGAAGAAAGGAAGAGAAGGTAAGGCAGAGCAGGAGAAAAGGTGGTGAAAGAAAAAGGACAGAGAGGTCAGAAGGCGGTGAGTGATGGTGGGGACGGTCAGGGTGGTCACAGTCTGCATGTCAAACCCGAAGTACCTAAAACTGGATGCAATTCAGAAAAAAATGCCGGCTTTAAACCCCAAGTAGTGGGGTTAAAAAAAGGATTGAACCACCCAGGCGGTCCGTGTTCCAACATACCAGTTGGTATAAACTGCTCTGGGCGAAATTGTATTCCATGGATAAGACTATGTCCATTGACCCTATCCTACCCCGTACAGTGAACCTCATGGACTAAGCCATCTTTTTTTCATAAAAAATCTGTTTCTAGTTGATGGATGAAGAAAGAATCTTGAAGTTGTAGACAAGAGAAGAGTGTTTTGGACGAGAGTTTGGATTCTATATAATAATTGCTGTATAACAGACTTGGAATAAAGTATTTTTGCCTGCCCAAAAAAAAAAATTGTTGGTTAGCAAGTCCAGTTCATTATTATTCAATTACCATGCAACCATCAAAAGTTCCAAGTGATTTGGAGTAAATAACTAAATAGCAAAAAACAACATTAAGCTAATTGAAATAGATAACAAAAAGACAAAGTTGATCAGTCAAGACTGAAAATACAATACTCACAGTTGGGATCTTCAGATAACCACTAGGAGCCAAGTGTGCCTGTAATAAATCAATTTCAAGTCAGAGATACCAAATAGTACCCATATTTGGCTTAACGGATTATGTTACGACAAAATACTGTGAGGAAGAATCTCCCTAAAGGTCACTAAGATCTTCATTGCATAGTGTAGCCATAGTTGGCAACAAACCTGCACATAATCTGAATAGATTTGTGATTTGATGAGGTTGTCCACAAGTATGCATATAATCCCTGACTGCAATAGAACAACATTGAAACAGCACACTCATATTTAATAAAACCAAAAAGATATTGTAGCATACAATTGCATCTTATGTTTCTACATTACACGATCATTGTTTTTATTTAAGCAGTATATATGAAAAAACTATGGCTGTAAATCATTCTAAAGCAGCAGAAAATTTTAAATTAAAATGGACGTATTTAAACAAGCAAAGGGGTAAGTCAAAGCAGGGAAACTTCATTATAAAACTTGTATAATTTAATTACACTATTATTGTTACCTCACTAATCTACGTTCAAAAAGTAGAAATTGTTCGACAAAAGGAAAGAACACACCACACAACAGTTTACATAAGGGTTATCTCCACCTGTATCACTTGGGAATTTGGAAACAATGTAGTTAAAAGGTGGTACCACTGAAAGGTGTTAAGGTGTCAAAACGCCTGAGGCACTCGCCATCGTCCAAGCAAAGAGAAACACTCCCATATATATATATCTATATCTATATCTATATATATATATATATATATATATATATATATATATATATATATATATATATATATATATATATATATATATATATATATATATATATATATATAT